CAGCCTCTCAGATATATGGAGGGATCTGGTCTTCTGTTGGCCCTGTTGTGGGCTTTTTAGGCTTCACTTTCTAAGGTTCATTCAGCCTCTTCATTCGTAATGCAGTTGGAGAGTCTGTTGGAGATCCAGGGTGGGCAGACCCACTAGTTAGTTCCTGCCCTTGTGGAGGTTATAGTTTATAAGGGGAGATAAGCCACATGTACAAGTACCAGCTCTGTGTGCAAGTTTAAACAGAACGCTACAATCCATAGGGTGTCAGAGGCAGTGCTGGCTCTTTGGGGATCAGACACTATGTAGAGGTGCTGGGCAGGCTGTAAGCATTTAGGATCACCCTCGTTATTTAGGCAGCCATCGCCCCTGTGTCAGAGTTGGAAAAATATGCAGTACTTGGAATGGGGTGGGCACTAACTAGAAGTGTATCGAGCGAACGCGTGCTAGGAATGAATGAATGCTGTCTGTGGGTTGACCTCTACTTTGGGGAGAGCCATCATTCTTGTTAGAAACAGCCCGGAACCTCCTTGGCATGGAGAGCACACATGATGTTCATACGCAGTCCCCCGAAGGAGGGTCCCGAGCAGAGGGATGGCTTGTTTTCGTCTAGTGCACTCAGCGATTTTGTGAAAGTACTAGTTTTCTGTAATGGCTCCTGGGAACTTAGAGTCGAACGTGGCGTCCCCGTTGGCAGATTTGCCTGTCCTCTCGCCTCGTCATGGCCTTACCCTGCTTGTCCTCACTCTTTCTCATCTACCACTTTTTTTTTTTTTTTAACAAAATGAAAATAGCTTTGCTTTTTTTCCTAATTATAAAAATATTACATGTTCATGCTAAAACATGACAGCCTAAAGAAGGAAGTGAAAATTACTTGTCATGCCGTGTCACAGGAATAACCTCCATCATCCGTCAGAGTCTGTCTCTGCAGACTTTCCCCCGTGTAGAGATGTTTGTGTGTTTAGAGATACGTGTGTCCACGTGGAGCAAATGGATTCATTGTTAAAAAAAAATGACATCATGTCATGCATCTGTTTCGTAACGTAAGTTTTTAACTTAAAATACCTTGAGTGGACATTTTCCCATGCCAGTAACTATAAACCCACACCTACTTCTAATATGTCCTTTTGCTGGGTGTTACACATCTTTGTAAACCTGCTTAAACCCTTTCTAGAACAAGGCAGGGTATATTAAAAAAAACCAACAAGACATTTTGACAGTCCCTTAAAGCAATTGTTGGCTTTAAATGAATTACTGAAAGAAAAACAGTGCAGGAGACCAAGATCGCAGCGAACACTGGGAAGTGTGCTGTGGCACTGTAATTTTGGGTGAGTCACTGTTCCTTGGTGAATTTTGGTGAGAACATGAGGATTTGTCGTTGTTGCTAAGGGTGGTTGGTGGACCTGGGCCCAGTCGCTCAGATTGTTTCTGCTTGTTTGGAAATATCAGGGCAGAAAGATTCTGCGGTTAAGACCTGGGTAGGAAGGTTCTCTGCCAGCAGAAAGCTCCCATGCCTCACTTGAGTGCCCCTTCCTCTTCCAAAGCGTTTTTTTCTGGGGAGCATCACACCTCCTCCTTCACAGGTTTCCCTTGGTGCAAGCATTTGGCATGGACATAAGGACAGGAAGGGCCTCAGAGTCCCTGCTTCAGTTGTAAAGCTATGTTTTTTAAAACTTTAAAATATATATATATATTTTTATTGATTTCAGAGAGAAGAAGGGAGAGGGAGAGAGAGATAGAAATGTCAATGATGAGAGAGTCATTGATCGGCTGCCTCCTGCACCTCCCTTGCTGGGGATCAAGGAGCCTGCAACCTGGGCCTGTGCCCTGACCGGGAATCGAACTGTGACCTCCTGGATCCTACCTTGATGCTCAACCACTGAGCCATGCCGGCTGGGCTGTAAGGCAATTTTTTAAAAAAAGCATAAAACCTGGGTAAATCCTGTCATATATCACCTTAGCCAACATCAGCACCCAAAGCCTTTGGGAAAAGACTACCCTTTGGTACATGGAGTGGGGATAGAATTCCCTTTTCCATTTGAAAAGAAAAACTTCCTTCACCTTTCTCACAGTGAAGTGAACAGTCCAGAAACAGATTTGCAATAGAGAAGAAGCGTTTTCCAGAATATTAGAAACCATAGGTGTATTAAGCCCTGACCTTATGGATCTTGAGAGTTAGACTTTATGTTTTTTTCCAATGAAAATAAAGTGAGCAGAACGAAGCCTGGTAAGGAATTCAGGCTCAAGACTTCTAATTTGCATTGGTTTTGATACACTGGTCTCTAAGCAGGGCTTGCTCTGTGTCTGCCCGTCTTGGTGTTGCACACGGTAGCTGCCCCGAGCCATATTTATAGGCTGGGAGGTGAGCGCTGGTGTCAGGGGCCAGTTTCCTAGTGGGGTGTGCTTTGTGTGGGAAGAGTACCAGGTTGGAAGCCTTGCTATGGGTATGACAGTCTCCAGTCGTCCTGCCATCGGGTGCTGCTAGCCACGTGGTATCACTCTGGTAGAATTTATTTAAATTATATTTCAAATTAGCTTGCTAGAATAAAAACATGCTTGGGGGAACACATTTAGACATTTGCCAACAACTAGAGAGATTTTTTAAAAAGATATTTTTAATCACAAGCCTGGTTGATAGTCTTATTATTATTCCTCTGAGGAACTGGGGATCATGGTGTCCCGTCTGTGCACCAGCCAAGACAGCTAACCTGAGAGTCGTGTTTTGAGAAACCCTTTAATGCCCTGGCCGGTGTGGTTCAGTTGGTTGGGCGTCGTCCTGTGCACCAAAAGGTTTCCAGTTTTATTCCTGGTCAGGGCACATGCCCAAGTTGCAGGCTCCATCCCCGGTAGGGTGCATGAAGGAGGCAGCCAATCGATGCCTCTCTCTCTGTTCTCTCCCTTTCCCTTACTCTCTCTCTCAAAAAACAATAAACTATTCTTTAAAAAGATAATAAATGTAGAGCTCAGATGAGTCTGACCACACCACCAAAACAAGAGAAACCCTTTAGTATACAGGTGCCTCCCAGCCAAACTGAAGCTGGGTCCCAGCCACAGGAGGGGCTCAGGCAGGCCCCTTTCTCTTTGCCTTGAGCTGTGGAAATCTTGGTCCAGATCACCGCTGTGGTGGGGCTGGCCCAACCCAGCAGCCCTTTGTTCTCCTTCAGCTCTGGGGGGAGTTTCGTCTGTGGGTTATGGGGTGGGGGTGGGATGTCCACAGGGATCCAATTAGTGAAGAATATTGCAGACCCTGCTGCCTGGGCATTGGATCCCTTTTGGGATCTTTAATTGGAGAAGCTTTTAATTGGAGTTGTTCAGATAAATGGAGAAAAGAAAAGTTGCTTTGGGTTCTGTTGTCTTGGGGGAGGAGGGTGGCGGAGAAGGTCCTCATGGGGAAAAGAAACGGAGGCTCCAAGGGGCAGGAAAAGGAGCTCCCGGTGGAGGTGGCATCAAGACAGAGTTCTCTAACTCCCCTGTGCAGACTGAAGGTGGAACTGGCTATCTCACCAAATTGAGTTCATTGTCGCGGAGGGCCGCTTGTCTCGCAGCTGGCAAGGATGGAGAAGTACAGACGGATCAAACTCCAGCCCCTTGGCTGGCTGTGTGAGCTTGGGCACGTCATCTCGCTAAGCTTTGTTTGTTCAGTGATTGAGATGATTGAGTGAGAAAATGTGTGTAAACATTTAGCACAATGCCTGACACATACGTACTCAGTGAGCAGTGGCCACGTTTATCATCATCACCATCAGCATCACCACCATCATCAGCATCACCACCATCATCACCATCACCACCATCATCACCATCACCACCATCATCACCACCATCACCACCGTCACCATCTTCACCATCACCATCACCACTATCATCACCATCATCACCCATCACCATCATCACCATCACCACTATCATCACCATCATCACCACCATCCTTTCTGCTTTGGGTGGGAGGTTGGCAGGTAACCCTTGAGGTACCTGCTGAAGTCCGTGGTTGGAGACAGTCCATCTCTCATCTTTAATCCTCTTGGGCGCTCCCCCAGTCCTCAGCTGCTCACTCACAGTCCTGAGCAGTGCCTGTCATCACGACCCAGACCATATGAGATTTGCCTTCTGAAACCTTGCCTCCTGTCACTCAGCCTCTCAGGTAGTGTTGGGGGAGGACTGTCAGGGGCCAGAGGACAGGGAAGGTCAGAAGAGCTGACCCACCTGTGCCAACAAGACCAGTCTGCCAGCCGGTTGCTTTCACGGGGAGGTGCAAGTGTGGACAAAAAGGGGAAGGGTGTCTCCCTGTTTTGGGACTCAGACTAAGGATTTGTTTTGCTGGTACAGAGGACGCTGGCTGGGGCTGAGAAGGAAGAGGAGAGGGAGGAAGTGGGTGGATTCCACAAGTGGTTTGGAGATGGGTTTGCTGGATCTGTCAGGGATTAAACATGGGGTACAGGACGAGGGAACGGGAGGGCATAGTGAGGACTCCTTCAGTTTTCGGTTTAAGCATCTAGTTCTAGTAGATGTGGGGAAGCCTGGAGGGGAGGATTCGGAGTGGAGTGGGGGAACCGAGTTCAGGTGTCCACATGGTAAACTAGAGGCGGTGCGTGGAGCTGGGGCAAAAACAGTGAATTATATGCATCTGGGTCTCAGCAGAGGTCAGACTGCAGATAGACTGGGTGTGGTCACGACCGGGAGGGGTAGGCAGAGGAGGAGAGGGCTCTGTTGAGGTGGCATCCAGGAAGAGCAGCCCGCAGAGAAGTCGGAGGAGGTGTGGCTACTGAGGGAGGAGGAAAGTGGGTGGTGGCATCAGGGCGGCTGATGGAGACAGTGTNGGGAGCCTGGAGCACCCACTGTTGAGGTGGCATCCAGGAAGAGCAGCCCGCAGAGAAGTCGGAGGAGGTGTGGCTACTGAGGGAGGAGGAAAGTGGGTGGTGGCATCAGGGCGGCTGATGGAGACAGTGTCCCGAAGAGGAGGGCTTGGGCACTGGTGTTGAGCGCTGCCGAGAGGTGCCCTGGGACTAGGCAGCATGGAGGATGCTGGTGGCCCTGGCCTGAGCCAGCTCAGTGGCGAGGTGGAGCCAGGAGCCAGGTGGGTCGGACGATGAGCGGGACGCTGGGAAGGGGGTTTTGTGGGGATGCGTGGACCGCTCTTTCAAGAAGGGGACTGTGAAGGAAGTAGAGAAATAGGACTCTAACATGGGAGGCTGTCGGTGGAAGGCGAATGCATTTACGATAGACTCCTGCACGTGTAGACGCTCATGGGAATGCTGCGCCAGAGGGGGGATGACAGGAGCAAGGCCTTGAGGAGAGGACTGGTGCAGTTCCGGGCACCAGGGGAAGGGCTGTCCCTCGGAGGGTGAGAGGGAGGCGCCCTTTCCCGGGAAGGAGGGAGGGGGGCCACGGAGGGGCAGATAGGTAGGCCGGCAGGCTTGGGCGTGGTGGAAGATGCGTGGGTCCCAGCCCACGGCTCCTGTTTGCTCCGTGAAGTCCAAGGCAGGTCATCCCCTGCGAGCACGGGTGGGGGACGTCTGAGGAGGAGAAGGAGGTGTGAGATCGTTGGAGTGGGCGGCAGGCCTGCCAGAGAAACCCAGGCTTGTGGCCGGTGGCAGAGACAGCTTGAAGTCAGAGAGCATGAATTTGAAGTGAAACTTGTCCACCCAGTTTGGTGACGTCGCCCGGTTGCTTGGGTGTGGGCACGAGGAGGCAGAGGACAAGACACATCAGGCCGGGGCGGCGGGGAATTCTCCTCGACGTGGTGGTGATGCTGTGGTAGACCATGGCGGGGCGGGCGCGGCCGTTCAGGGACGAGTGGAGCCGGGAGGTGGGTCCTGGAGAGCCAGCCAGTCACGGGTGGAGGTCTCTGAGGTGGAAGATGGGCAGTGTGGGCAGGAGGCCGGGGGGTGGAAATTCACACCCTGAGGGGGTACGTTCCTGGAGATGAGGGGCCCGGGAGAGCGTCACAGAAGGGGCGTTGGGACGAAGGCCTTTTTGTGGAGGAGGTGAAGGAACTTTGTCCAGGGTGTTGGGGGTTGTCCACGTGGATGGTGGCAGTGGCAGGAGGTGGGCAGTGGAAGAAGCTGGGCCTGGAGCTGACGCCCCTGACCAGTGGCAGGAGAGGACTTGGAGGCTGGCGACTGGAATGGCCAGGCCTCCACAGCGTGGAGGTGGGCAGGCACCAGGACAAGTCACCCTGACCCGTGTCCTGCTTCTGGGGGAGGTGAGGGGAGCAAGGCCGGGCGTGTGGGGCGGGGAGCGCTGTCCTCGGATCCTGGCTTCAGCTAAGGCGTGAGAGTGAAGGGAGCGTTCTGGCCATGCGGCTGGTGCCTGCTGATCTCAAGGGGTTCAGTGAGCCCGCAGACGGCTTGCCAGTGTGGGGAGGAGGCAGGACCGTCCCAGGCTCGTGAGTAAACCGAGCAGGGAGGTCCGAAGAACCTGAGCGACGTTGGGTGATGAGGGTGCGGCCTCTCCCTGAGGCAGGGGATGGACCGTGCTCGGGGACTGGGGTGGGGAGCGGGGCATATCTTTCTGAGCGTGGGAAGGACCTGGGGATTCGGGGCTGGTGGTGAGCCGAGCGAGTCAGCCTGGTGATGGTTGACTATAACCTTGAAGACCTTGGTCGGAGTAGAAAGTCACTGTGGTACCGTGTAAAGGTGGAGACGCCTGCTTCCCTGTGCGTCTAGAATGCTCCACTTGGTTCTGGCGCCAGAGTTGATCCAGATTTAGATGAGTGGAGGGATGTCTGGAGGAGGGAGAGCAGAGCGGGAGGGGTCTGGATAGTGCTCTGAGGACGATCTGGAGGAAGTTTTCGTAAAGTGGGGCCTCTCGATACCGTGCAGGGGTCTGTGAACGCCCCTCCTTCCAGGTGTGTGGAGAATTGTACATGGGTATGTGTATCTCTGGGGAGGGTGTCCATAGTTTTTATGAGACTTTCAAAGGGCCCTTGACCCAAAAGGGATTAGAACCACTTGTTTAATGGAGTCATGCGTTTGAGCGGAGAGGAGGGAGAACTTGGCCAAGAGGTGAGGGTATCGGGAGGAGAGAGCTGTTTCCGTGTCGATGACCAGCTGCCGTTGGGGGGCGGGGGTCGTGCTCTGAGTGACCTCACCTGGCGGAACTCAGATCCGCAGGAGGGAGGTGAGGGAGCCCGAGAGCAGCCGTCACAGGTGGGGTACGCACAGGGCAGGTGGCAGAGTGGGCGACCGACCGGTGATGCTTTTGATGCAGAAGCTTTGTCCAAACCTTGTTCTGAGGAGTTAAGAGCTTTAGGTGCTGCTATGTTTTCTTCGTCCTCCGGCAGACTGTCTTGTGGGCTGAGGTGTGCTGGGGGCTCACGCCCTGCAGGTGCTCGGGTGTGCAGTTCCGAGGCGCACAGGACCCTGGAAGCCTGACCTCCTTTCTGGAGACGGCACATTAATTACCATCTCAGTGACTGGGGGCCTCCGTGGACCCGTGTATGGGAACACTGTTCCTGATGGCATTGCCGTGGGCGTGCTCAGCTCCTCCTCACACCGCGTGCCCACCGTGGCCTGTCTAGACGTGGGTCCCTTTTCCTGATGTGGAGCTGGGAGAGTGAGCCCTGGAATGGGCTTGCAGGCCTGGCTGGAGCACAGCCTTCCTCTGAGAGGGAGGGGGCCCGGTACAACCCACACCCAGCTTGTTCCCAGGTGACGCTTGGGCCCTCACCTTAGTTTGACACCAACAGAATCAGATAGACTGGCTGCATTTAAAAGTGACTCCCATGGGACAAAGCTGGTGCTTCACGGTCTGGCTGTGTTAGAGTTCCCTGCTGTACTTTCCCTTCTCTTGGGTCTTTTCTTTATTAAAGCAGGCGTGCCTTACCATGGATAGAATATTCTGGAAAACGGGAGTTGGAGCCCCGCAGCTTGAGTGGAAGCTTATCACTCGCTTCAAGGGAAGAAGCTAAAGAAAGCCACTCCCTGGCTTCTCCCACGCATTTTAGATGTTCTGAAGGCTTTGCGTGCAAAGGAAACAGTGCCTCCTTCCTTAAATAATTCAGTGGAGCTCTCTGAGCATGGAGTGCTGCTGGGCCTGGTCACACTGGAGCCCCCAGAGCCCCTCTCTCAAGGGGAGAGCTTGGGCAGGTGCCCAGGGAGGTTGTCCGTGTAGAAAAATGGATGCAGCTTCACACATCTGCATTTCACGCACTTGGTGAAATTGGCACAACCCTGGAAATGTTGCCCCAAGAGGCTGCATTCATCATGTTTGTATCCCCCATGAATTCTTAGTTGGTCTTACCCGTCCCTTGGCTGCCACGTGACTGCCACGTGAGATGACTGTGGCCTTGGACCAAGTGTGTACCCTCCCGAGCACTGTAGCATTGGCACTGGCTTCTGTATGTATTTGGTGGGCGTTTCTAATTCATGCACTCGATCTTCTGGCCGAAGAGCCTCCCCTTGGGACCAGTGGTGGCATCGCATCCAGCCCGTTATTTCCTGGGGGTCCGCAGTCCTATGGTTGCATAGGCTCTTTTTCTCTGCAGCCACAGAGTGGTATGTGGAACAGATGTGGGGTCAGGTCAGATGGTCATGGTGGAGTCTTACTTGGTTCCTGTAGAAGAGTGAGTTCTGCCGGGGGAAGGGAACTAATATTTATCGATTGTTGATGTGCATTATGTCATTTAAGCTTCATGACTTATGAAGAAATGAGTTCAGAGAGGTTAAGTTACCTGATTAAGGCCACACAGCCAGAACACAGAGTGTGGCTGGTGGTTATATATGTTGTCTGGCCCTGAGGTTCACGCTCTGCAAGACTTTTACAGTCCATGACAAAAACAGCCTTTGTTTCAAAAGTACAACTTGAGGTTTAAAACAAAAGCAGAGACGAGCCTCAAGGAAGTTCAACTACCCTGCCTTTCCAAGGGCAGGGGCTAAAAGCAGGAATTTGCTCCGATATGATCGCCTGGCCAGTCACACAGCTCTGAGCTTTCTGCCAGTTTCTCCCCAGTAATCTGCTGAGCCATTCCTTTGTCTCCCGTTTCCCATCCTTCTGTCTCCCAGTTTCTCCCTGCTCCTGTTTCTCAGGTTTCACTAGAGGTTCTTAGAACGACTTCAGTCTTCAGTCCTGTTGAATTGCGTGTTGCGATCACGTCTGTTAAGACATTATTCAGATCACATAATAGGAATCTCAATCTCCAGTAAGCCAACCTGTTAGGCTGGGTCTACGCCAGATTGGTTACATCGATATTAATGCTGACACAAGAGGGCTGTAAGTTTCCCAGAGCCCACGTAGCTCACCCTCTTTTCGGCTACGGATCAGAATTGTTCTGTACTCGTTTCCCACCATTTCCCATCCTTGTCCGTGGTCCATGCTTCAGGTGGATGCCTGCATTGTTTGTCTCAATTATGCACAGAGTGGTCGTTTTGTTTTGTTTTATTTTTGCCAAGTGCTGTAGCTGCCTTGCTGTAGCTGGGCCCTCCCGGCTGTAATAGAAGGATCTGCCTATTGGGAACATGAGCAAGAAGGTGCTTTAGGGAAGTGGCTTCAGGACTGGTTCCCCAACCAAACGGCAGTTTACTCAAGCCCCCCATCCGGGGTGAGAGGCCAGACTGAGTCTGACATTGTGGAATTTGACTCTCTCTGTGCAACTTACAGAATTCGTTTAGCTTATTTATGTCTTTTTTTCCTAGAGCAAGTCTCTCACCCACTCATAGCTGAAGTAACCTAGTGGATCTTGAGGAAGTCGGACTAGCGTGTGATCTGAAACCCAGATAGGAGGGTCTAGTTAAGCGTTTTTTGTAGGAAGAAGTTTGTAGCTGAGGGTCTTCCAGGCAGTCCGTTTTTAGACTGAGCACTTTCCGGTCGCCACTGGAACAGGTAAAAGCAGTTTTCCCCATATCCATGGGATCAAATATTTGCATGGTGGAGGCAGAATCCACTGTAGGTACTCAAACCTCTGTGCCCAAGGGCTTCTGGTTTTTCCTGCTTGGGCTTATCAGTATCACAGGCTTGTTTAATTTAGGTCACCTGTGTTCAGGTGGCAGCCAGTGGTACCAAAACTGCATCCACCAGACCAGGTGGAGGCTGCTCAGCAGCGGATTCTTAGCCCAGCGGTGTCCTTCTCACAGTCTA